GGGTCCTCATTTTACCCACCTCGGAAGGATGGAAGGCTGAGTCAACCCTGAGCCGGTGAGATTTGAACAGCTGAACTGCAGAACAGCTGCAGAACAGCTGAACTGCAGAACTGCAGTCAGCTGAAGTAGCCTGTAGTGCTGCATTTAACCACTGTGCCACCTCGGCTCTAAAAAATATTTCATTCTGAGAAATGAGACTCTGAATTAAATCTCAACGTTGGCAATGTTTAAAAACCTCCAACTGAGAATCTACCACCTCCCTAGGCAGACTAAATATATATTGATAAATATTGTCAGTAACTCTCCATTCATTCACTGCTATCAACTTCCCATGAAATTGTTGGCTGAAATGATTAGGAATAGAAAATTCACAGAAACCATAGAGCCACAGGTTGCCTGCCATTGCTGAATCATCTTACCTTGGGCATTGGGCATAACAAAAGGGAAAGTTTAAATTATTAGACTTTACATTATAAATCAGATGAGACTTGCCATTGATCAATTCTGTCAGCGAGTACCAATTTTAGAGAAGTATTAGAAGACAGGAAAGACCCAATAGTGGCCCCATTAAATTATGGTTTCATGAATAAATCTGTTGAAGTAGCTTTTTTATTTGTTTGTTTGTTTACACATTTTAGTTTATTTGGAATAATCCAAAAACAAAACTAAATACATGTAATATTTTTACAAAAACCCATAAAAGGTAATTTTTTCTACAGCCTAGATTTTTAGATCTAAGAAGGGAAAGGTTATTTGGTCTTAATGTGTACCCATGCAGAAAATTCACTCTTACAGGATAATCCTGGATAGTGCTCATATTGCTTCTGCCAAATTTCTCCAAAGAAATATTATTCTAAGGATTCTGAGAAGTCAATTAGAATGTCATCAGCAGTTCCTTCCTATTCTTGTTTATTTAGGAAATAACCTGCTTCATCTTCTGTTCTCAAAGACATACTTGTAATAACTTTGTTGCCTGCCGCTGAAAAAACTCCAGTCTTTTTTTAAAGCTATATTTATGGGCAGCTTCCAAAATTAAAATCCCTTATCTTCATTTTCCTAATCTCAGTGAACACAGAACATTCTTTGCATAAAAGGAAATAAGTTTAGCTGCCTTGGAAGGAAAGTATTGTATCTATAACAAATATTGTATTATGTATTTCCAAAGATTAGAAATGACAGTCTTATATCAAATAAAAAAATTAGCCCTGGGTACATTGAGGCTTAAACTTTATCAGATTTATTGTGCAGCAAATTTGCAAAACGAACCAGTATATGAGTCGTTAAACTCCATAGCAAGATTTACAAATTCTTGCCCTCTGTAGGGAAGATTATCCATATAGTGATCTCAATGTCAGATTCAAATGTACATAATATAGATGAATTGCTAATGATTGTTGGCAACGTATCTTCATACGTAATTTTTTTTTAATGTCAAGCTTTATAACTCAGGTCCTCAGCATCAAGTCGAGTGTGAACCGACATGTTTAGAGTTTGAACTAGTTACTTTATTGTCTCTGCCTATAATACAGGAATCTCCCAAGACTGGCAACTTTCATCTGGGAAATACCAGATAAGACACAAAGGCATTCAGGTCCTCTCTTGTGTTTTATGTAACGAGTCTGAACCACTTCTCTGCTTGAACCCCAGCTTTGATAATTGGTCTCCTACAACATCTCCATAAAATGTATTGTAAAATATTTTCGATGCAGTTGAGGATCAACAGCTTGATAGATAAGGTGACTATGGAAATAAAAGAAAAATTATCAGTTTCCAAAGTATGGCAAAAATAACATAGACATAGAAATTAATAACAGTATATTTTTCATTGGCCAAGGTATATGTAGTGGTCTACTACATCTAGTTCTTCTCCAGATATATTTTTTTCTTTCTTTGGTGAATTTATTAAACATAACGATTCTTTTTCAGGTTTATTTTTAATCCAGATGGTTCTCCTACTTTGTGTAGTTTTGTATGTATTTTTGTAACTCTTCTTAAGAGAATAATGTCATCTACGAATCTGAAATGATTTAAAGTTGATTTAACCACTGATTTTTATTTCATCTTTGCCCAGACTAATCTGCGAAATACTTCTTTAATGCAGGGTGAGAAGATGCTAGATGATAATGTATCACCTTGTCGTACACCTCGTTCTGTGTAATTGATAATGCTAATGTAACTCCAGGATATATTACCGGTACTCATACGTTCAGGCTCATACTTCAGGTGAATGGTATTTCTACTGTGAACTTCCTTAAAACAATATTGGAAAACAGGCACCTGAATCAGGCATCAGAAAAATTCTATGTTCTTATAGTGAAATGTATAACAAATGAAGACAAAAAATAATAACTATAATACAGCATTAACTATCTCATGATTTTATTTCCTATTAAGGAAGTGAATTCCAAGGCATGTGAACTCCTATAAATGAAGCTTGCCATTCAGATGTGGGCCTTCTTGAGATGTTCTTGAACACCATAGTTCAAAGGCTCAATTCTTTGGCGCTCAGCCTTTCTTATGGTCCAACTTTCACAGCCATACATTGTAACTGGAAAAACCATAGCCTTGGCTATAAACACTTTCGTTGGCAGTGTGATGTCTCTGCTTTTTAGTAGGCTGTCTAGATTTGCCATAGCTTCCCTGCCAAGTCTAAAAAGCCTTTATTTAAACTTTCCATTGTCTTTCTAAATCTTCTTTTCCAAAGTCATCCCAACTTTGAAGTTATTTTTACAAAGGACTGTCTCAGCGATTTCCAACTCAACCCCCACTTTGTTTAGATTTGCCCAGTTCAAATGTCTTAAAAGTTTCACTTCAAAGTGGGAAACCCGGAGTAGATATTAATTATATTAGAGCTCCCTCTTGTGCTTACACAAAAAAAAATCTGATACATTCATAAGAAATTTAACAGATGATATGCAAATTAAACCAAGCTGGTTCCAAGACAATGAACTAAAATTTATTACCCCGCATTTATTATTTTTATATATTATGTACTTGTATCCTGTCTATTATTTTTACAAATAATTCAAATTCTAACATATCCATCACATCTTCCTCCTATTTTCCCCACAAGAACAACCCTGTGGAGCAATTTGGGTTGAGAGAAAGTGGCTGACCCAAAGTCACCCAGCCAGCTTTCA